GCGTCTCTGTCTCTGTGTGTGTGTGTAGTATGGCTTTGGGGCGTCGTTGGCTTGGCTTGTAAGGTTTCTCGTGAAGCGGTGCTGTCTTGAGAGTAAGGTTGGCGTTCCTTATCGCACTGAAGATGGTTATGACTACTGTTGATAATCGAAATCCTGCATTACTTTAAGGACCCTGAACTATGGCAATTATGGTATATTCCTTATGATGGGTAATGCAGGATTTATATCCTTCACCGTATGACTCCTGACATTGAGGATCCAAACGTGGGCGGCGCTGCAAGCATTGACGGCATCGGCTTCTGTGAACCCTACGGTCATGCTTGGAAAAGCCTGTAACTCAAAAGTAAAAGGGTAATTCTCGAAATTAGGTTCCCATCTTAGGCCCCCAAAAATTAGTAATAGAGCGGCAGCCTTAAAAGAGAAGGGACCCTATGAGGCAGCCTAGCTTAGAGAACTACCCATATAATTTGAGCAACAGGACCACGACCAGTGACCGTTCCCTGCAACCCTAAAGCCTTCAACCCGAAGACCCCAAAACCCTACGTACCCTGGTGTGCTTGAAGCCTTGCCTGTCAGAGTCCTGTCATGCCATCTGCCTAGCCGCCTCAAGGCATCCTAAACCCTAAAACCCTAAAACCCCTAAACCCTAAACTCCCTAAACCCCCAAACCCCTGAACAGCCCTAAACCCCTTTCAAGCCCAGGGCGAAACCCCAAACCCCACAACCCTAAAAACCATTAAAACCCTCAGGCGCACCACCTCCGCTCTCTTGGGTTGAGTCCGAATCCCGAGGCCTGAGCTCCATCCTTGCACAACCTTTGATGAACCCCGAACCTTTGGGGCTTTGGGTTCAGGGCTTAGGGTTTGGGATTTTGGGTTTAGGGTTTTAGGTTTAGGGTTTGAGGTTGAGGGTTTAAGCTTTAGGGCTTAGGATTTGTGGATATTTCTTAATATTGTCCCCTCCTGGCTGGTATAGCTATATATGATAAGCAACCTAATAAATTCTGATTTAGGATAAAGGGTTAGAGTATAGGGCTTAGGGCTTAGAGCCCAATACTCTTTTTTTTACGAATATTCTTTAAATCAAAATATTAAGACCCCTATAATTTAAGGTCATATTCCTTCATTCCCCTGGAACACCCTAAAACCGACCTTATAGATCCCTTTTAAAAAATCCGACAATTTAAAGCAAATTCCTTATAAAAGGGGTGTTGTCTCAGCGCCGGCCTGGCCCTTACCACCCTTACCTTTGCTGTAGCCTACGGACCCCACCAATTTCGAAACTCTCACCCTAAGGCCCCAGAAACCCGTTAGAATTTGGGATTTAATATTTAACTCGACTTAGAGAGTCGGAACTTAGTAAGTGGGCAATAAATTAACTTACAATTATCCTAAAAGAGATCCTAAATGGGGTAATAGCACTTATAAGGTTTGAATAAATCCGAATATTTATCATCCAATATCATTTCCTAGACGAATATATATCTTAAATATATCTCTAGATTCTAAAAGAATTTAAGATTTAGATAAAATCAGCACGATTATCTAATTTCGGAATTATCTTATTTTTAAAAATTATCGAAAAAATAAGAAATTCTTAATAGAATATATTTCAGAATTTATAAATATTAAAAATAATATTTTCATAATTATTTCTAATTCATTTTTCAGAAATATTTTTTCATTCATGAAAATAAACAAAGAAATCATATCCACCTATTATATAATATTTTCAAATCAAAATTCATTATTATATTAATTACCTAAGAAGAAACAGAATTAACTTCGATATAATTTCAGAAATTACAAATCATACAAAATCTGAAATTCATATATAAAATTAAGATCATAATCGATTCTCATCGTGAAAAAATTTTGAAAGAAAGAATAAAAAATATTAATAACAATAATAATTGCCAAGAATAAGTAGCAATAATAAGAATAATAATCGTACGTAATAATTTAGATATTCATAATTCAAATTTTTATCGAAAATTCGATAAAAAAGATTGGATATAACTTATACAGTATTTTCAAGATTATTAAATCAAATCATAGATATCAATTTCCAATATTTTCATATTAATAAATAAAATAGAACGATACATCTTTTTCTCAAAAGTAGAATGTAGATTATAATGGTGAGTATTAAGTCAAGTCGATATTTTGTCATAGAATCATATTTCGTAGTTTAAATACGTATGTAGGCATAAAGATATTTATAACAAATATCTTAATATTTGTGGATAGTCGTAGTCATCCCAAAAATCAATATCGGTAATCCTAATTTCAATATTCGAAATAATATCCATATACTATACCTGGATTCGTTTCGTCTTACCATCCACAAGTTACGGGACAGTCCTTTCCGATGTTGCCTTCCCCAGCTTCACGGAATATTTTCGGCGCTGCCCCATCAGCGTCGCAAGACTATCGGCGCTGTCTCTTTGCTGCTCCTGTGGAGGCAGAATGCGCTGATTGCCGCTTTCGCTTTGCCGTCAGCACGGCTTTTTGGATGACCTTGCTGGACAATCTTTCTTTCTAGACTTCTGAAATATGGCAGCGTCAGAGCTTGTGGCTTGAAAAAGAAGACGAATCAAAGCAAATGAAGACCACTTCAGAAACAGCCTTTTTAAGGACAAATAGATTGTTCGAGATCCCGAAGATCGCCCGAAATGGATGTGCGTAAATCTGACTTCACAAACGTTTGACATGCACCTGCATGATGGTGCGTCAAAGGACGAAGGACAAGACATGATGAGCGACTAACAATGCAGATGTGTTTCGAAGGCTCCGTGCAGTGATCACAGGTATCCAAAGGAAGGCTGCCGAGCAGAAACGTCAAAGTCCCACAGTACTTATGCTTCATGATAAAGGGCTTAATAATTTGCTCTTTGACTTTGAGGTGTCATTCCTTTGGTCTCGCTCGTCATGCGAGGGGACGCATAGAAGGAAGAATGCCGGGCACCAGCACCGCGAACAGCTGCACTTCAAACGGATTCAAAATTGACAACCAATATTCGATGCTCACATCGTTATTAATCAAAAAACAATTTCCGGGGTTAGGGCTTGCGGCTCCGCAAGCGCAGAGATGCAAGACACCAAAAAGAGCCTAAGCAACAGACTTCGTAGCATTTGATCGTTCGGGCCGGGGATAATCGTCTATGGATCATCTGGCAAGGTTGACTACAAGTAGATCCACGTACCCCACAAAGAATATCTGTAAAGACCTCATAGGACTTCGCGGACAGTGCCGGTAGACTGCTTGGGCACCGAAACATGCAGAGCTTGAGAACCGTCCCTGCCTAGCACCTTGAAAACCCCAGCCCGCAGCGAGCACAACCACCAGAAGTGTTGTAGCAAGTCAGAGGCTCAGCAAGGCAGGTTCCACATCGATCCTGCAATCCTCGTCAGATACTATTCCCTGAAGTACAGGTCGGAGAACCACAAAACAAACCTGCTTGGAGAGACAGCTGCCAAAGTCTTTCTGTCTGATTGCGCTTTTTTTTTGATGAACTCTCAAAGTTGCAGTCAACACACGCACACAAACACACCGGTAAGTATGCTTCTGTTGGCCTCGAATCACCCAGCAGGTTCATCAACAATTTTCCTACGAAGCATCACAGACTGGGCCAGGCAGCGGGTCATGCTGAGCCAATTTTTATTTTGCATCCTCTTGGTGTTGGTCGAGTCTGTCGACACCAACAGCGTTGTTGCAGAGCATCAATCAGACAAATCAGATTCGGCTTTCACACACAATCGGAATGCAAAATCGTTGTACCCACCGGTGGCATGAATGTGGATGCAGTTCATCCAACAGTGTCGTGGCAGCAAAGTTTCTACAAGACAAACCCACAACCGTCGTTTCCAGTGGTTCTGTCTTATGTTGTTTCAAAACCCCTCCTCGATATTAAGTTCTTCTTCCCCAACCTGGAAGGTATCACACCAACAACCTGCTCAAAACGGAACTTTGCTTGAGGCCCCAAAACCAACGTTCCTCTTCAAAGTCTCTTTGCAGGCGTCCCTATCTCGAACACCGGGTCCTTTGTATGTGAGGTGGTTGTTGGGAGCCCTCTTTGCGTGCCGCAGCTTATGCTGCCCGCTTCTGCGCCACAGCCGATGATGCACAAAGGATCCCAACCTTCCTGCAACCCTGGCTGTGACCCTGAACTGTGTGAACAGTGCAGTCGTCGAGATTCGGAAAGCCTAAACCCCGAACCTCAACAACTCTAAACCCAAGGCCCTCCCAATGCTTTGAACCTGAGCATTGCATTTCAACTCACCGACTGATTTGACACATCTACAACATCCAGTAGAAAGTCACACAAACCACCACCTTTGTGGGAGTGAAAGTGTAAACTAGGTTGCATGCTGATATCTTCAAGCCGAAACCGCACACCTCTACTTCACACCTTGTTCTACAGTTCTAGAGCCTGAAGACGTGCTCGAGGCTTCAGCTGCCTAAACCTGAATCTCTATCAAATCACAGACACATCACTCCAGCGTACGTCCGAATTCAGTCAGAATGCCGATTCACACACCCCGACACCATGAAGAATTGTAGGCCTGGTCGAGGTCGTCCAGCTCAGCTTTCCAGCCCAGTGGATCAACCTGCCAGTAGGTCTCTGTCATGATCGCCGCAGCGATGTTGCGACGCGGATCCAGCCAAAAGTAGCTCATGCCTGGACAAGCGCATGGATCCCGTAAGAATGCCGGTCATCACATGCTTCTTGGCAAGTGCCTCCCATGTAGAGAGCCCCGGCATGCGGTCCGTATCTTTCGATGTTGCCCAAGGGGGACCATCCCACCTGCGAGATCTCAACGACTGAGCCAGTCATGCCAAAGGTCTAATGACACTGAGAGAAAGGCTACAGTATACAGTTCAAAGGCTCAAAGAAGGCCTCAATTAGGGTTCAGGGCTTTAGCTCAAGCTTAGGCACATCGTCGCTTCCCCAGCCCTCCGGGTCGGGCGTGTCAGAGGCACGCTTCAGCCGCAGCCAGTCGCCAACAAGCGAGCGCACCGTCTCTGTCTTCCTCGCGACTGTCCAAACTGGTGGGAACAACCCACGAACATCTTGAAATGGATGGACAGCTAAGTCAACAAACCAGGAGACACTAGCACGAAACCGGTCGGCTTATCACCTACGCTCAAGTCGAACTGTTTGACCACTGTGGGGAGTGTGAAGTCCTCAACCTCCAAAACCCGATCGCCTGAACTTGACGGGAAGTCACCAACGCAGCCCAGCGGCAAAACCCGCTTTCCGGACACCGATCGTCCCCCTTGTATGGGTTTAGGCTGTCGGAACACAGATGCCCACAGAACTCACCGGTCTTAGTCAAACGAGTTCTCCCGAGTGAGATAGAAAACCGTTGTGACTTGGGGCATGGGTGGTGAATGTAGAACAGTTCAGAAGTAGGCACAGAAGTTGGACACCCTGCATAGAGGATTCAATATGTGAGGCTTGAAGCTGTGAGAAACAAAGTGCGCCTTTGGGGACATCCAGTTCGGCTTCAGGATCGTTGGTTCAGTGTCGGCTTCGGTGGGCTGTAGATCCTCGACTCCCACAGTTTCAACACCTGGTTCGACTGCCTTTGTCGAAGCAACACTTCCGGCTCTGTGTTCAAAGGCTGATCAGATAGTAGTTCTGCTTTTTGGTTTCCTTGAAGTTGGTAGCAACAGCTGCCCTCATGTGCCAAAGCTCTGTTCAGCAGCATCTGACAAAACAGCAGCACGTCCCGCAGAGAGAAGAGCATTGTAGAGCGACCGGCGCCTTGAGAGACTTTGTGCGGCGCAGTGCTTGGGGCTCAGGGCTTTCGGGAGCTTTCCTCGTTCCAGATGCTTGGAACAGCCCTTTCAGAGCCTCTTGGCGCAACCTGTCACAATCCTACAACTCCTGAGCCTGTAGAGGCGAGCCGAAGGGTGAATGCAAACTAGGCGACTCTATCGTCGAAGTTGTTGGATCATAAACGAGGCACCCCACAGACCGCCGGCTGCTGGCACGCCGCCAGCGTAGGCGGCTGCTGAGCCTTTCACGTACCTTCAACTGATCAGGTTGATAGCTCGGGTTCTGCCCGGGCATGCAAGTCGTAGCACTGCCGCCAGGCTTCATGCTGTCTTCTGCTCTGGACCCGTCCAGCCGCTGCAGCCAACGCTTGGATACACCCTGACCATCACAGAACACATAGGAGAAACATGCTGTGGAGCGCTTCGAGCTGCAAACCATGTCAGCTCTGCCCGCTCAAGGTTCCATGATCGCAAGACCCTTCGTGCAGAGATGTTGGTGAACTGCTGCTGGGCATCGGCTTCATTGCGAGGGCTTCCTCAATAGCTTTGTCTTGGTTACTTGCATTCCTTTGAGGGATTGGCTTTGCGAGGCGATGGACCTGCCTTGTCCTTCATCAGGCGGTAGTATCCGGCTAGGTGTGCAGTTCTGGAGCGCTGCACCATGAAGCTGGTATCTCGCATACCAACCCGATCCAATACCTCATCAGAGTCCGCACTATCAGCATGAAGATCTTTGAGACTCAACAGAAGTGTCAACTAGGATTTGGATTGAACAGACACCGTCCCGCTGAAATTGGCAGCACTGGATCGGAACATGCAGTCTTCCAAGATGCACGAGTTTGGATGATCTTTCGAAGCGGCTGCCCAGTCACAATCTCCATGACCTCTTCCAAGGCAAAGAACTCCGGGCTTTCGAGTTCAGGGCAGTGGCAGAACATAACATAAAAGAACTATGAGTTTCCGAAGTCAAGCTGCATGTCCGAGGACATCGAGGCTCATCCCATATGCATAGTTGCTTCCTGGCTGATGCAGCAGCGGTAGACCTGGCCAGCCCCACAGCTCATTCGGCTCAGAGCAATGCAACTTCAGTGTCTGGAAATGCCTGGGCAAGCCTGGCCCTTAAGGGCTCCAAAGCTCTTCTCGTCGCTGATGCCGATTCTGCTCTTTTTGGTGAGGGTACTTCGGGGGGCCGCGTGCTAGCTTGTGCAAAACGGCTCGTTAAGAAACATCCTGGTCCATCTACCTTGGGCTATCCAGTTGTGCTGGGCTGCGTGCCAACTCCACGCAAAGCTTTTCGAGGCTGTTGATGTCACCTTGTCGAGAACTCCGTGCGCAGGTCAACAACTTACCATACTCGCGATGGCTTTCGGAGCTGACCCACATGAATACGGCCAAGCCACCCTCTTCCTGCCTCACTGTCAGGCTCTTGTAATGCTTTTCCTCTGCCGATCTCGCCACCAAAGGAACACCCGGTGTTATCGATCCCGGACCGTAGCCAAGTCCAGAGGTGTGCATCAGCAGGTGACATAGGGTCATGGGCTTCTTCAAGGCCTCAAGGCCTTTGCCATTCTTCCTGTGGACCTCACGCCAACACAAAAGTGTCAAAGCGAGGACCAGAAACGTGACAGGGCACTTTCGAGAAGCTTTCTTTCCTGCTACAGATTACGGTCTTGTGTTGGCTTGCCTAGCTCTTTTGGAACAATGCGCCCGCGTCACGTTCGTCCGTGAGGTTTGATTCGCGCCCGGGGCCTGCACATGTCACCAAAGGTCTTGAGCCTCTCATGTATGAGGTAGGGGTCCAAACGATTTTTCATACCTCGAACAGTTTCTTGGCAGTCGATGTCCTGACGCCGGCACTCACGCACCTACACTCTCTCTGCCTCTTCCTCCGTCCCTCTCGCTCGAGGACGTACATGTACGTGTATGCATATACATATGTGTACACACATACACACAATACGATATATGCATACATACATATACACACACACACCTGTACAGACATGCAAACATTTATGTTTTCATAAGTACTAACCTTAACTAAGTGAACTAACGAACATGTACACATATGTAGATATATGTAGATGTTATACTGACTGTATGTATATGCGTATACATACAGACATATATACATACATACATACATTTATACATACATGCATACATACATTCATACAAGCATATACATACATACATACATGCATGCATGCAGACATAAACACATGCATACATACATACATGCATGCATACATACATACATACATACATGCATGCATACCTACATACATACCATACCATACAATACAATACCGTACAATACCTTACCTTACATTACATTACATTACATGACATTACATGACATTGCATGACATTACATTACATATATATATTATATGGTACCCCCCTCCAAATCCTAGGTTTTACTATTTTTCATCGTAAATAACAGTGTTTTCATCACTCTTTCACCATTTGATTTTTGAGGTTGGAAAAGCAATGG